TCCGAGCTATATGCAAAAGATGTATTTAGGGGCCAGCCCTTCAACTCCTTGATGGGGAAGTTTAGCAAAAATTGAAAGGTTAAATATTGTTTAGAACATTATTTTGAACATCTTTTGTTCAATATTGCTTATCAAAATATTTCCCACTTTTGAGATATTAAGCGTCAAAGATTTAGCATTCTGGCCCCTTATGGCCCCTAATTATGTAACATATGATGTGATTATCATAATATATAGTTGTAAATAGTTGAGATAAACATTTTTGCTTCAGGAATGCATTTCAAAATATTGATCGTTAAAGAGTTATTGATTGAAGATTTTCGGCCCTTCTCAGCCCCTAATTTGAGGGGCCAGCCCCTTTTTCTTTATATCACTTTAAAGCTCTCATCATTTTGAACACTTTTTGTTCAACAACTACTCAGAAATTCTTTTTCGTTTCTGAGATATTTGCAAAAGAAGTATTTAGGGGCCGGCCCTTCAACTCCTTAATGGGGACGTTTAGCAAAAAATGAAAGGTTGCATCTGGTTTAGAACATTATTTTGGACATCTTTTGTTCAATATTGCTTATCAAAATATTTCCCACTTTTGAGATATAAAGAGTCAAAGATTTAGCATTCTGGCCCCTTATGGCCCCTAATTATATAACAAATGATGTGAATATCATAATATATAGTTGTAAATAGTTGAGATAAACATTTTTGCTTGAGTAATGCATTACAAAATATTGATTGTTAAAGAGTTATTGATCAAAGACTTTCGGCCCTTCTCAGCCCCTAATGTGATGAGTCAGCCCTTTTTCTTTGATATCATATAAAAGATTTTGTAATTCTACACAATTTCTGTTCAATATGTTTAAACAAAATACTCATAGTTAAAAAGTTATCGTAAGAAATGTCTCTAAAATTCACTCATGATTCGCTTCCTAAATTTTGACCCCTACCGAGCTTCCATACTAGGCACTTCCGGAAGATTTGAAAACCCAGGTGATCAATGGCAACATGTCCTCTATCTTCGCTGAAAATTTCAGCACTCTAGCTTTAATCGTTTTTGAGTTCCATTGCAGACAAGGAGGTCCTCTGAATTTTGATTAAAGGGCGATAACTTCCGACCGGAAGTGAATTTCAAAAAAATGAGAAAAACGTATAAGGTTCAGACAAAGATATATCTTCCCTGAAATTTTCAAGTAAATCGATCGAGCCATCTCCGAGAAATCTTCTGCACAAAAATTGTAAAGAAAAAAAAAGAATAATAATAATAATAATAAAAGTGAAAAAGAAACAATAGAATAATAGAAGGGTCTTCCGTTGGAGACGGAAGACCCTAATAAAAGTGAAAAAGAAACAATAGAATAATAGAAGGGTCTTCCGTTGGAGACGGAAGACCCTAATAATAAAAGTGAAAAAGAAACAATAGAATAATAGAAGGGTCTTCCGTTGGAGACGGAAGACCCTAATAATAAAGGTAAAAAAGAAACCGAAGAATAATAGAAGGGTCTTCCGCTGAAGACGGAAGACCCTAATAAAGGTAAAAAAGAAACCGAAGAATAATAGAAGGGTCTTCCGCTGAAGACGGAAGACCCTAATAAAAAAGAAATACATATTAACAACTACGTTTATTCCAAATGAATGCTAACATAAAATAGACCAATTTCTAAAAGATAAAGAAAAAATATTTGAATGAAAGGAATTTCGGACATAAGAAGCGACTTCAACACTTCCTGACAAATCACGGAAATGTGTAGGCTTCGTGTCTATGTCTCACAATTGATTTGGTATACGCAAGGGCATGTTCCGTGTACGAACATTTTTTTTTAAAACATGAAAGCCTACTGACAAATACGTTCATGTTACAGGGATTTGAAATCTCATTTAAAGTCAGTATTTCGCAAATTGTATAGTCGTTATTATGACTTTGGTTTCAAAGGCAAACTATCTTTGGGTCAAATTTGGACTAATATGGTTCATTACTTTCATATAAATTTTAGTTACAAATTAACCCGTTTACCTAATCAATACAAAGGGCTCAAGGCGATTTTGACTGGTTGAAAGGAGACTCTTATTCATCCTAGGCACCTGATATAACCTCAGATGGTTCCATAAGCAAGTGCTTTTATCCTTTTTAAAGTTGTGAAATATGAAGATAACTAACAATATTCAATTTCGAAAGACCAATGAAACGATACAAATTTGAAGCAGAGCAAACATGGACCTCAAAATTTAGAGGTGGGATCAGGTTCCATTGTTCAAAGCCTTTTTTTAAAGAATGATCACTGTTCTTTATCTAATTTTTTCTGAACTATAAGTAAATTTTCTGCAATTCTCTCATGCCATAGTGACTAAATTTCTCATTTTGCTATGATTTTAAAATATTTCATTATGATCACAGATTTAAAAAAAAAAAAAATTAAAAATCAAGAAAAGACAAAATCCTTTTTATTAAACAGATAAAATGACAGACATGAATTTTAAATGAGATAACATGTACAAAAATATACACAATATATTCAGTTAAAAGCTTTGGAGGTAAATAAGCTTGGTCAATTGCGTAAAGCTCAGGAAAATCGAGGTAGAATTAACAAATAAGTATTCAAATGCAAAAATAGAAATACTTTCACAAAACAAGGAAAACAAATAAAAAACATATATAAATATATTAATATCTTTGTTGGAAAAATATAAATTTAACAGCCGAATGCCTTCCAAACTCTTTAGAGCATTAATGCTCCTGAAAAATTCTTCAAAAAAATGCAAGTAGTAATTCTAATTTAATGTGGATAACAGATGTTATTTTCAAATCACCCAAGCCTTTAAATGCAAAAAAAAAAAAAAAAATGGTGGTTTCTTTTCAATTAAGGCTTTTAAACACTTATTTTTGTCATATATCAGACATGTAATGAGGTTGACTGAATCAATCTGAGAAACTGACGATAAAGTAACAAATTTGATAATTCACAGAGATAGTCAATTCAGAGAATCTGTGTTCCCCGCTGAAGGAAAATAATAATAAAATAATATTTAAAAAAAACAATTAAAGAGGTCCTATATAAAAAAAAAATAACTCAAAGGCGCTTAACAGGACGATTATACTAAAATATATGTACAAGATAGTAATGAACGCTATAAAAGAATAAGAAAAAAAGACAGCATGCGCGGATCTAAAGCGGGGGTCGAGGGGTGGGTGGGTCTTAACACCCCCCCCCCCCGGAATTTGTAGAGCTATTAAATGTATATTGAAGCAAATAAAAATGACTCTGCCCCCCCCCCCATTTGCAGAGTTATTAAAGCAAATAAAAATGACTCCCCCCCCCCCCCCAGGACAAGCGTGGACCCCTCTTAAGAAATAAGTTTCTCATGGTTATTTTTCACGGTTAGTAAAGGAGTTTAGGTTCTTTTGTTTCTTGTTTGCACAGTCAAGAAATTTTTAGGTTGGAAATTATTTGACCGGGGCGAACACCCACCCATCTACCCCCATCCCCCCGAGAAATTTCCTGGATCTGCTTTTGGCATTAATATTAAGGCCAAATGAATTTGCATAAAAGTTGGGGTTGGTTGGCGGATTTTATTTTTTGTATTTTCTATTACTGTAAATATCTACATAACGATCTTCTCATACAACATTTTCAGATTGCAATTGCCAATATAGATTTGATTGCTTATTCTTTAAAATGTGTACAGAAGATTCTTTTTATATAGAATATATATCACACTGTAATAATGATTTTATGAGAACGTTTGTACACACAACACATAACGGCTTGTATGAAAATAGGCGCGGTTTCAAATACTTAATGCATATTGGTGTTTTACATGTTAATCACCACTTCTCATTGGCTTTTTTTCTAAATATATATTTTTCGTTTGACCAGCAAATACTCGTGCTTCGTCTGAAAATATCACAGATTTTCACTGTCCTCATAACATTTTTGGTTCTTGACACGTTCGATATTGCAAAATTTAACACAACACATGGCGTCTAATTAAGCCTTTACTAACCAATTCTAACAGATTTACCATGTAAAGTCCGCCGACAACCTGTATAATATGTAATAACTCTCAACATACTCCTGTGCTAAAAATAGTGTCAGGCGACTTTTAATGCAAACGGGAGTAACTCTAAAACTTTGACCGTGATCGATGCCAACAGATTTCAAATTGACTTTTGATTGAGAAAAAAGGGGGCGGGGCACATTAAGTGGGGCGGGCGGGGCCATATGGTGCTGTAGTATAAAGTTCATTGCAAAAGCTCAAAAGCTTCTTAAGATATCGCCGAGAAAGGAAAATACAGACAGAATTATGAATTCAAGACCTTGTTCTTACACCTTTTGACCTCAGAGCAATAGGGGTCTTCTTCAGGCAATAGGGAGTTGTGGTATAACATTTCATTGCAAGAGCTCAAAGGCTTCTCGAGATATCCCCGGAAACGAAAGAGTTGCATACTGAATGAAATACAGACAGACAGATGGACGGACATACAGACCTACATGTTCAGTGAAAGCGGGGGACAAAAATGGACCTAAAGTGTAAATTTGATTGAAAATTTAGATTGGATAGATTTTACTTTAAACAGCGGGAAGTATAAAATTTAAACTCTTTCATAAAATACACTGAAATATATCAACTACTACCTACCAGGGTAACTTCCAAATTACACAGTTTTTCATTTTCCAGAAATTCTGTTTTGTCCTTTTAAAAAGGAGGAAAAATGATAAGCTTGCAAATCAAGTATTGCAAACAGAGCAAAATTTGAGGCAATTGATGTAAATCAATATTTTGGAAGGAAATAATATTAAAAAATATATCGCAATTATACATTTTAGAGTTAACTCTCTTGTCTACTTGTCTCTCTAACAGAGTTAATCAACTCGCATTTCCTTGAGGAATATAAAAGATAAATGAAATATTACATGTAACTACATAATATCCTCAGTGATTTGCTGTTATTTCTAATTTATGAGATCGTGTTATACCCCCCCCCCCCCCAACAAACCTAAAATGCCAAAGTAAAAAAAAGTTGTCAAATCAACTGATGGGATTTGATTTTCTCCTGCACATATTTTCCACCCTTAATTTTCCTTTTCGTTTATGTCTGTAACAGCCGTTCTGTCTCCTTGAAAAGCTTTGTTGTTATAATAGTAAAGAGACCCATCCAGATGAATATCAGATAGATGAACATAACCATTTTGTTTTCCATTATTCCTGTTCACATCCCCATTCATTCTCACTTCGGGTTCTATGATATCAGGAGCAGTTTCTGTGAAATTATCTCCCATCTTCTCCTGCAGGTTTTCAAAATTGACAAAATTATTTTCATCATTTCTGATGTAAAGTTCGTGATCTTCAACGTCAGGCAAAGCGTTGAGTAACCGTTTGATAAATCCTTTTTCGTTAACCCTGAGAGACACATGAGTATTTACATAGGTTTTAACCTCTTCACACATGGTATCCAAGTTAACGTCATCCAAAAGAACAACAATTAAATGGTTGCATTTCTCCCGCATTGACTTTTCACTGGCAGATCGAAAGGTGAATATTGACCACTCATTGTCCAACTGTTCTCCAGACAAGAGAAAAATTGTATGAAGGCAGTTGTCGATGGCTTTTAGTATGTTTTCTTCCTTTGGTGCCCCGGGAATAAAGTCCCTGTCAGGGAGGCAAAGTGTAAATCCATTGTCCTCCAATATAGGCCTCAATTCATTCATTACATAACCCATTTTACTCTCACCATAAGATACAAAAGCATGACGTTCATACATTTCGGCGTTGAGATAATCACTTCCATACATGTGCTGAATCAGATATTTTAAATCAGGTAAACTTTTGATTCTTGTTTCATCATCTTTCAGTTGTGGCATACAATACAGGAGCTTTTCCTGAAAGAGGCTTAGTGAAGCATCAATATGCCGTCCTCCCTTCACATATTGCTTTAACTCTTTGCTTTGGATTTCTTTTAGATTTACATCATATGAAACAACAATAGCATAATTGGTCTTCTGTGCTTTAATTTTTTCTTTTGTCTCGTTCCACGCAATTTTTAAAATATCGTCATTCAGTATTTCTTTCGATAGCACTATTATTATTCTTTTACTATGTTTAACTAAAGTAGCAATGTTTTCCTGATATGAGAACCCTGCAACAAAATCTCTCATCATTTCACAAACCAAATAATGTGAATTACAGAACTCCAAATACTCGACAATATTTTCCATGACCCAGTCCGTTATATTAGGAGAATGTACGACTAGCACGTCAATGACTTCTTTACAATCTTTGTCCTGATCGAAGGGATGAAATCCAAGGTAGACATATAGCAGAACTTTTACCTCCAGTCTATAGATGTATAAGACGGACACGGTTACTATCAGTACTACCAGCAAAACGGAGCACACAACTGTAGGAATAAAGACCTTATTGTAGGAATCAAAGTCCTCCAAACAGATAAAATCACTATCTGGTACAAAAATCAATTTCTGTCCTTCCCCGTATTTTTCATCAACATTACATGTAACTTTCTGGGAGTCGACCACTATATCTGCTCGTTGTGTCATCCATTGTTTTAACCACATTGTGTTACAATCACATTTGAATGGATTATCTTCTAGATAAATAGATCCTGAAAAATATTCCTGAGTAGCAGCAGGCAAAGAAACAAGAAAGTTAGAATTCAAAAAGAGTTCTCGAATATTTTTCATTTGCTGGAATACAGCATCGTCTATCCTTGCAATATTATTACTAGAAAGGTTCAATGTTCTAACCCTGTTTAAATATTCTCTACTATTTAAATAAGTTATATTGTTTTTGTCAAACCAAAGATCTAAAGTACCAGATGGCAATTTTTCGGGTAAAGAACGGTAACCACGATCCCGACAGTCTATAATATTTATTTCAGTTACTGATCGTTTATAGCATGTACAATTAGTCGGACACAAGGACATATTTTTCTCACAATATGTGTCTTCCTCCTTTATTTCTAATAGTGGACGATTTTGAAATTCAGATGGCCAGAAACATTTCCACGCATTGAAATATATATCCTCTCCAATCAATTTCTCGTTTAAGAAATGTTTTACTAATTTAGATATTTGGTTTATTCCGCAATCACAACGAAGAGGGTTGTTCACCAGCAGAATCTGAAACGTTTGGAAGAAGAACAAGAGATTTTTGTGTAGTTTTTCTGTATCTTTGTCTTTGAAACTTTTGATGTCGTACCACGGTAAGCGGAGATTTTCAATTTTGTTTCCAGTAAAGTCTAATATGACTTTGTGACCTATATCGGTTTGCTGTCTTGTTTCCGAATTTGAGTTCTTCACGGAACTGTGTGGGTCATTTCCATCTTCCGGTGTTGACTCCCATTTTAGATTCAGCATGGTTCGGCTGAAGTTTTGAAATCTTATATTTGAATTTCTTACACTTATTTTCTCCAGTAATCGCAGTTCAAATACTGCTGTTGGGAAATCGAAAAACTTATTGCCATCTAGAAAAAGTTGTTTTAATTCAGTCGACTGACTGGGAAAATATTGTGGATGTAAAGCAGAAATATTATTGTCCTCCAAGTGAAGTTCCCTAAGAAAATGTAAGTGAGAAAATGTATTAATTTCAATCGTATTTATATTATTTTTTGAAAAGTCGACGTACACCATCTTTGTGTTATCAGAAAAGAGATCATTTGAGAGATATGTAATCAAATTATCTTTCACATCCAGATGGCGTAACTCTGTAAGACCTTTAAAAGTATCCTTTGGAATAATTTTTAATTTATTTTCACTTAGATCAAGATGTTGGAAACCGAGAAGATTTCTAAACGTAAATTCATTGATATCTTCTAGTCCATTCTCTGATAAATCAAGTAAATGCAGAAATCCTTTGAAGCTATGATTGCCGAGGTTTGAAATCTTGTTTTTACTCAGAGACATAGATTTCATATGATAGTTATTTGCCAGCTGAATGTTGTACTGTCCAGCATAGTCGCTTTGTGCTTGATCCCTTCTCGACATGTTGATACTTAATGTCAGCCATATATCGCTCCATGGAAAATTAGGAGGCTCAGTCAAATCTGAGTCAATTATATTAAGAACTTGCAGTCTTGGAAACAAAGTCGACAATGATGGTAAATATTGTTGCATCGGAACTTTTGTGAGTTGAATTTCTTTGATGTCTGGAAAGGTTGAATTACAAAACAACAAATCTTGAATTGTTGACACAGAATCGGTCAGTGTGGCAGGCTGTGGCTCCCAGAAAATTCCCTGAAGAGTATTCCAGACTCCACAGTAGCTAAGATTAACAGGAGTTCCGTCGCAGTATCTGAAATCAAGTGGAGGGTAGTTTGCCATTAGATTTACCATAAATATTTTGAATCTGTTTCTGAAAGGCTGAAGCTGCTCCTGGGTTATTCGGCATAACGTGATTTGGAAATATGCCATAACATTCGGTAGGTAAGATCTATTATCCTCAGAGAAATACACTTCCACTTCTTTATTACAAGCAAGTACAAAAACAGCGTAGACGGGATTGTTATCGAAACTGAAATTATCCAGAAAGCTAGCCGTATCCACCGTGCACCTAGTGTAGTTATAATTGTCATCCCGAACTATAATGATACCAGTTACCTTTGTTTCCATTGGAACAGCGTGTTGGTCCATGACCGGTGGCGATGGCTTTGTCCTAATATGAATCTTGCATTTTGGAATTTCACAATCTGAAAGATCTTGCAATTTTCCCAGAGAGAGAAAACTGAACATCAAAAGAAATTTAAAGAAATCTGACACCATCTTGGCAGGTTTTTTAAGGTTTTATTATTAATCCTAAGAATACAATTGGGCTTGACACTGTTTCTGTTACATTTTCATAACACGGGTCTACGGAAAATTATCTTGTATACAGAGAGTAACATGTCAGTCCCAGGTGAGATGACTTCATAGAACACACCCACAGAATTCACGGTGTCCTCCCATGTTGTGTCATTCTGTGAAAAAAAAAAATAATTGTCAGGGCGGTATACGACAAAATTCAATAGAGTGCGAAACAAGAGGTTTGCTTATGATCTTAGTAGAATTTTTCTTAATTACACATGTATGTAAATTGTATGTATACACATATTTCCCACTCGATATAAATCATTCCAGGAGAGTCATCTTTTTCCCCAATTGGGTCAAAAAGATAGTGTTTTTATAAGCGTGAGTTTTAAGATATTGTCAAATAGTCTCTAAAACCAGCATTTTGTCGTCGTCATTGCATTTTCATAGTTCTGTTGATAAATAGACAACCCAATACACTTATTTTCGCCGAGGGAAAAAAACTAATTAAAACAAACAGAACTCGGAAATTGCCAAATCTCTTTTTCAACACAACCTTTAAGTTCTACTGAATCATGAAATTTGGTGATTTTTGACTGCCACTAGAAATGATCTGAAATATTTACATTTACAGGAACTGAACATATAATTAAAAAAAAACCTCTGATTAAAATTGTTGTGTTAACATTTAACATAATTTAAGTTCTTACCAATATCCCTAACTTTTCTTGCCCGTTTCGGTTTTTAAGTGACACTGTTCTATGTTGCATAAAATATATAATGTTAAGTACTTCTAAATAAAGTTTGGTTGACAAAACCACAACATTAATTCTTTATTTCTACGGACGTAAGAAGACTAATGTATTATTGATAGATTAAATAACGTATGTCACTTGACAACCGATTTTCTCCTTAAACACTTCATAAATTTTCATTTAATTCTAGGAAAACTCAAGTAACACGATCAAACAGAGTGCAGAGTAAGAATAGCTCTGGTTGTTCTAACACCATAGCTTATTTGAATTCGAAAATGACTTTTAAGTTATATGAAAAAGAATCAAGAAGGCATGTACAATAAAGTGGAATGGCTTATATAAGGTTCTATAAAAATATCAAATCTAGAAAAAGCCTTACCTGCAAAATTGGCCAGGTAAAATATCCGTCCTATTGTTTAGTCCCGCAAGTTTCCATTTTGACAGGTTGTACAATGATTAATAACACCATTTTCAGAAGAATAAGGAAATTTGTATACTACTCTGGGACAAACACACACACTACAGTGAATTAACTCTCTCATATCGAACATTTGTAACCTCGTATGACTAGGACTAGGGACATCTCACGTGGTAAAAACGCCCATATTAGGTAAGGAAGGGAATGTCATACTCAGTAGTTAGTTGTATACAATGAAGAGACATTTCTATGAACGCTTATGAGGAGGTAGGTGTGTTCATGAATAGGCTCTTAAGAAATTAAGTCATTTCTATAACTGATGATGACAACATGTACATTTTTTATCATAGGGTCCATTAAAACAAGCTTTAAGTAATAATTTTATGAATGATATCTTTATAGAAAAAATACCTTGCAAACTTCTCTGTTGTTAAGAAAAGATAATCACGTTCCCATTCAAATTGAAATATTGCCGTAAAAATAACAAAAGAAAGACATAGCGTATTAATCTGAACGATTTGATTTAGAAGGTAATAAAAGAGATACATACCATATAAAAGACAGGTAACACAAAAAAAAAAGTCAAAATAATGCAACCATACATTAATAAGCATTGCAGCCTAGTAATAGACTTTCTCTGTGAGTGGGGTTAAATATTATCAAGGCAATGTAGCATAGAATGTTGTCGATGGAACAATACACTGTACAGACATTTGTTTTGTTTTTTGTTTTGTTTTGGTTTTTGGGAGTTTTGTTTCTTGTTATCCATTACCATAAATATTCTCTATGTAATCTATAAGAATAATACTCAAAAATGATAAATTCTTGACTTATGGTACCTTTATAACAAAAAGCGTGTATGCTGATGTTAAGGCATACTTTTGTGAAGCAAAAAAATAAGCTATTACCCTAAGACATTACATATCTTCCCAAACAGATCATTGAAATGAAGGCAAAAGCTTCACACATAAACAAAAGGTATCATTGTAATGTTTTAAAATTATAAAAATAAAAGCTTTGAGAAGGAAGGTAATTTTTTACATAAATATTAAGGATAAATTGAATTTCTATTTAAATATAGAAAACATCACACGATTTTAAAAGGTGAAATAAGTATTGCATTGGTCAAGATAAAGCGCACTTTGTAAATTTTAAAATACTGAGATTTTTGAAAAGATGATAATTATTCAAGAGGTTTAATTGTCCGAAATTTAAACGAATGAAAAGAAGTTCATCTAATTTTAATTTTAACAAAAATATTACTAATAAACTATGAAAAGTGAAGAAAACGAACAGTGGTTGATCTCAATTCTACAAATGATACAAGTCTGTGAACACGGCATAAAACACGAAACGCTGGAAATTACAAAGGTGGAATCAAGGCCTGGGAGGAGCAAGCATCCCTTGTCGACCTGTCATACCCGCAGTTAGCCCTCTTTATTGATCAGGTAGACGGAATAATTCAAAACAAAATTTAACATATAAAGACCTAACAATTAGAATGAAATATTTACCATGCAGTTCAAATACACCCAATGCTATGTTGTATGCTAACAATCTATTTATAACGGATTTTAGGAATTGTTGTTTTTGAACGAGTTTGTTGAAATCCATGTAAAATCTAATGATTTCCAGTGACCTTCATAATGAGAAAGGTGAATTTAACAATGATCGGTATCAGAAGACCAACATCGGCATCGACATTTTTTCCACAATTAAATATCGCTGCTGAACACTCAAAGACCAATTGACATATTTGAAATCTTGTTCACACATGACCTCTCTGCCATGATAAATATTCATTGATAAATATAATCAGAAGTAAATATCCTACTTGTACTTTTGTTTTAAGGTGCAGTGTTTATAATTCAAACCATGAATATGTATGGAATTAGAGACCTCAAGAATGATTAATGTTAAGGCGGATGTAATTAATACCAAGAAGATAGAAAGTACTCTCAAAAAATAGATTAATTCGTCAAATGTAAGCGGCAGCAATGAAAGGTAAGAAAAAAGGAGTTAATCTTAAACTGTATTTTTTTTATTTACTGAGCATGATCATGCAACTGGCTTAGACTGAGGTCAATTTTTCAACCTTCGTTAAAATATTTATCAATATTCAACTGAAATTCTAAATATGCCGACAGTAATACTTTGGTGAGGCGTATGTTGAAGAATATTTTTTGTACAAGAATGTTTCAGTTCTATTTCATATCCATGCAATATACCTGTGTACATATATTTTATTTTCAGCTAAAGATATTTCCTGGTAATGGTACAACATTTTACAATCAGATATAATGGTACAAAGTACACAATATTGGAGGTACTGAACAAATTCATCTTTACATTTTTGTAACTTTCTACATACTTCGTGTGAAATGAACATTAATAAATTTTAAAACTGTCAAAATAAGAGACATGTATACCTCACACAATCCGATGAATTATTTATATTAGAGCAATTGATATGTTAGAAGGTCATAACTGTGAAATACTAATAATTAATTTTTAAAAACAAGTTTTCTATCCATCTCCTTTTAAGGTCAAACAATATATAAATATATATATATATATATAGAGAGAGAGAGAGAGAGAGAGAGAGAGAGATTTGATGGATAGATAGATTTAAATGATTTTTATCAGTTTATATCACTTTACAATTAAATTCTGAATAAAATTTGTCAAATTATTCAAAATCTAGTGACCAGATAACTGGTCTTTTACGTTTCTGAATACTTAATAAGAAAAAAAATATATTGGCTTCATAAAATACCTATGCATATATTAAATAAATGAACTCTAGTCACATTCATTTCGTTTTGTTGATTTTGAGGTGAAGGGGGTCTGAATCCAGGGAGTGTTTCTCAGGGGTCGGTGTTTCAGACCTATTCAAGAGTCCTTTTGTTCAATGGACTTTTACTCAGTTTCCTTCCAATATGCCCAGAAGCAGAGAAGAATTTCACAGGTACAATGCATTTTCACTACAGTTTCAACAAAGCCTTACCCTAACACCAGAACCCAAGACCAAGGGTCAAGAAATTTACAAATTTGGAAGAGTTACCCTCATCATCATACCTATGGACTTCAAAGAATTAACACTTTTCCACTATATTATCAAAAGCCCCCCCCCCCCAGTTATGCCAGAACCCCTGACCCTAGGACCACAAGATTTAAAAATTCTGTTCGAAGCTCACATTTTCATCATAGCTAAGCAATTTATTTATCAGCTCAACGCTAAGGAGCAGACAGGATTAATTAATGATTAATTAATAGAATTAATGCTTTTTCACTATATAATCAATAGAGCCCCCCCCCCCCCTTCCTCAAGAACCCCAAAAACTGAGGCCATATATTTGTAAATTTTGGAAGAGGCATCCTTGCCTATCATAATCATGCACTTAGTTTGTTTAGATAATCTCCAGTAGCAGAGAAGAAGATTTTCAAAGAATCAATGCATTTTCACTATATAATCAATAGAGCCCCGCCTAACACCAGAACCCCTGACCTTGGGGCCATGAAATTCATAATTTTTGAAAAGGCATTTTTATGCATCATACCCATGCAATTAGTTTGTTTAAATAATCTCCAGTAGCAGAGAAGACAATTTTCAAAGAATCAATGCATTTTCACTATATAATCAATAGAGCCCCGCCTAACACCAGAACCGCTGACCCTTGGGCCATGAAATTCACAATTTTTGAAAAGGCATCCTTATGCATCATAACCATGCACTTAGTTTGTTTAAATAATACCCTGGAGCAGAGAAGAAGATTTTCAAAGAACGAATGCATTTTCACTATATAATCAATAGAGCCCCGCCCTAACATCAGAACCCCTCACCCAGGGGCCATGGCTTTCATAATTCTGGAAGAGGCCCACCTCCTCATCATAACTATGTACTTAGTTTATCACCTTAATGCCCAGGAGCAGAGGAGAAGATTTTCAAAAAATTAATGCATTTTCACTATATAGTCGATAGAGCCCCGCCACAACACCATAACCCCTGACCCTAGGGCCATGAAATTCACAATTTTGGAAGAGATACTCCTGCTCATCATAACTATGCACTTAGTTACTTTATTTAATATCCAGGAGCAGAGAAGAAGATTTTCAAAGAATTAATGCATTTTCACTATATAATCAATAGAGCCCCACCCTAACACCAGAACCCCTGATCCTGGGGCCATGAAATTCAAAATTTTCGAAAAGGCAATTTTTCTCATCATAACTATGTACTTAGTTACTTTATTTAATACCCAGGAGCAGAGAAGAAGATTTTCAAAGAATTAATGCATTTTCACTAGATAATCAATAGAGCCCCGCCCTAACACCAGAACCCCTGACCCTGGGGCCATGAATTTCACAATTTTTGTAGAAGCACTCTTGCTCATCATAACAATGCACCTAGTTACTTTATTCAATACCCAGGAGCAGAGAAGAAGATTTTCAAAGAAATAATGCACTTTCACTACATAATCAATAGAGCCCCACCCTTACACCAGAACCCCTGACCCTGGGGCCATGAATTTCACAATTTTGGAAGAGGCACTCTTGCTCTTCATAACTATGTACTTAGTTACTTTATTTAATACCCAGGAGTAGAGAAGAAGATTTTCAAAGAATAAATGCATTTTCATTATATAATCAATAGAGCCCTGGCCTTACACCAGAACCCCTGACCCTGGGGCCATGAATTTCACACTTTTGGAAGAGGCATTCTTGCTCTTCATAACTATGTACTTAGTTACTTTATTTAATACCCAGGAGCAGAGAAGAAGATTTTCAAAGAAATAATGCACTTTCACTATATGATCTATATAGCCCCACCCTGGGGCCAGAACCCCTGACCCTGGGGCCATGAATTTCACATTTGGTAGAGGGCTCATTGCTTATTACAAAGATGCCAACAGTTTGACTGCTTGATGTCCTGGAGTAAAGAAGAAGATATTTAAAGATTGCATTATTTTTGGTGGTTTTAGCCCCACCCCTCAGGCCCCAGGGGGGCAGGGACCATGAAATTCATAATTTTTGTTCCCCTTCACCCATAGATGCTATATGCCATATTTGGTTGAAATTGGTTAAGCGGTTTCAGAGAAGAACCTAAAAATGTTCAAATGATAACACACGACGCACGACGCACGCCGACGGACGAGAACGGATAGCAATAGGTCACCTGAGTGACTCAGGTGACCTTAAAAACGGTACCACGATTAACAAGAAATTAGGCATACATTACGCAGCTCTGTTAAGGCTGCATAAAGGGGGCGGGGCCTAATTTATACGGGAAAAGTTTACTGTGACATCACACAAATATAGCAATTCCTCACAATAACTGAAAATGAAATAATTTGCGAATCTAAACTGCATAAGAGTAATGAACTACATCAAAACTTACCACTGCATTCATTTTTGTCGCTAGTTAAATACCACACAGCAAGATATAAACAAGTCACTGATCGCAATGCACTTGTCGACATGACGTCATCATGGTAAAGTTTGACGCATTTTATGTGCAGTGAGAGGCGGATCAAGTAATTTTTTCACAGTGAAAAATGCATTTTATTATTAAACAGAATATTATTTGAAAATCTTAGGTAGACCATTAATACAAATCTGAAACATTTGTTTAGTGTCATCATTTAAAAACTATCGAGAGAATGTATTGAATTAATTCTACCGTGTTTTTGTCTACAGGGTGTGCATGTTTCACGCCGAGGTGCCTCATTAAATTGCCTTTTCGCAAGGGCATACACTTAATAGATCTTGACAATTTTTTGAATACATATAATGGACATATTCCTTAACTTGAAAAGTGCTGCTGCTTTCCTGAAATCGATAGCATAACTTAATAAATACATAAAATACTTGGTAAAGGTCACACATATTTCGACATTAGCAACATAACATGAAATTTAAACTCATAAAATGCGAATTCTATTTAAAGCAGCAGCACTTTCCATAAACTACAAGTTATGTAGAAACAATCTATTACTTTGATTTTTAATTTTAACTAGGGTATGCCCTTGCGATATTGAAATTTGTTTGTGACCTACATACAGTACACATTACATGCATTTATCACATGACTATCAAATAACGTGACCAAACCAAATTCAGTACAGAGCGAGGTATACAATGTTATTTCAAAGAATGTTAAAGTCATAAGATAATATAGTACCTTTACAAAATTAAATTCATTTTAAAAAGGTATGTATTTATACACGTTTATATTCTGTATATTTCTTCGAAGTACGCCTTAACAGTGCTGCGTATCATATATATATATATATATATATATATATATATATATATATATATATATATATATATATATATATATATATATATATAAATCACGGTACCATGATTTACAAGAAATCTTGTTGTGAGTAGAACTGCATTGAGCATTATCATTATAAACAAAAATCGTGGCATTATGATTTACAAGAAATCTAGTATTTCATTATCAAAAAAAAAAAAAAAAAAAAAAAAAAAAAATCACGATTTCACTATGTGAAATCGATTTTGAATTTTTGATTTTGAGTTTGTGTGTACATATCACAGAGTAGTGATTTTGGGATCCTATAATTGTTAAGTTTAAAGTAATTCTCTACCTATTTCATTGTAATGGCCAGTCATCTTAACTCTTGTGTTGAATATATTTTCAAACTTTTAACAATTGTACTATCAAATCTACATTAAAAAAAAATTAAAATATTAAATACCCTGCGAATTTTTCTTGTTTCTAAATGAATTGTTTGAAGATATTTTTTTAAAATAACATTTACTCTATAATCATGTACACGTATATGTTGTTAATTTAATCAATAATATGATATTTTATAGCTCTGTGAAATATTATTTTTCACATTTCAATGCATTTTTATCAATCTGGAATAATTTACGACTCGAAAGTTCTCTTCAAGAAATGAAGAGATTTTTGCAAAATATTGCAGGGGAAATTGTAAAACTACAATCATTTTATCTCTATTTTTTTATTCCTTTTTTTCTTTTCTTTATATCTTGTAACATCAACTTTAGTTCTAAAATTAACTTTTCCTCTTTTTAATTGGATCTATTTCTACATGAGCGTGTACTTTTCAGGGAATAAATTGTTTAAGCTTAAGAGCGTACAGTAAAAATTAAAACAAAATTAATTCTCTGAGAGTAATAAACTATATTTCCTTTATTTCCTTTTCTTTTCTTTTAATTTCTAATGTCCTAGTACTTATATAATTCGAAATTAAAAAATAAATAAATAAATAAACACACACGTACACACTGTTTTCCGCTAACTGAATTAAAAAGTTTTTAAGTTTCTTAATCTTTTTAGTTGTCACTTGACAGAAGGCTTAAATTATTGAAAACAATTTGGATTAACGTTAGGAGTAAAATTTGGTTATAATTCAAAAATCAAATCATTAACTTTAAGTAAAAGAAAATTTAATTTTTGATTAATGGTGGAGAAGCGTTTCTAAGGCCATCCTTTCAATTGTCATTGCAGTTACAAACAAAATTTACACATTACTTGAATACAAGTCTGATTTTATAGTAGAATCCTTGTTAGATAAAAAAAAAATACTGGTGCTGTTTGTTCAATTTATATGTTAACACATTATTTTCAACGATGTTTGTTTGGTTGTGCTCTTTTTTAATACTGGTTATTCAATTTGTATACCTAAAAAGGAGAAAGATGTTCGGTTACCTAATATCAAAATGAAAAGATGGCATTAGAACACTGATTGATTTCATACAGTCCATGAACAATATAAATCATGAATAAGACACAAGAACCATTTTACACCATTTGTTGTGTAAAACCATTCCAAAACAAATTTGAAGCAATTGATTTAATGAAACCTTGTTTATTGAAGATAATTACACAATAAAGTAAACGGTTAAAACATTGCGTGAAAGCAACAATATAAACCTTTGAATAACTTATGAACAAGGGAGGTAAACGTGTTTGGTAAAGTTAGTAAAGCTTTTGAAACAAGAGGTAGATATAGTAATCAGTAAAAATATATATACATACAAACCAACACCTGTAAAAAAAAAAATTACAGTGATTCACATTAAACCATTGGTAATGAATAATTAGAGCATTCTTTTCTACCTTTGCATTGAAATACTTATTTTAAAAAAGAAGGCTCCACTCAGTGTATCTTTCACATAGTTGGTGATATTTCAAACGTACATGAAACTGTTAAAAAAGAAACAGAAATGGAAAGATTGTTTTTTTTTTCAATTAGAGAAAAAATGAAGAGGAAACGAAAATATTTTGATAAAATCTCACAATTATACCATATGATAAATAAATCTAAAAGATTACAGCTTATTAAGTCTAAAATAATAAATGCTCCCAGTAATTTGACCTAGCACCTCTTTTTCTATTCTATTTTAGACTCCCCCCCCCCCCCTTCAACTCTTTGCTGAATGATTCTTTTTCATAAAGTCTATTACAAGACAGACATGATTGTTCTCCGAAAGATTAAAATTTTCTGGCTATTTTCACAATCCTTATATGGCATTTTTCTAAGACCCGTGTCCTTCAAAAGCTTTGTTGTCATAACGATGGAACCCATTCAAGTGAATATCAGATACATGAAGTTTGCCATTTTGTTTCCCACCGTTCACATACCCATTCTTTTTCTCTTCAATGACTCCAGGAGCAGTGTCATCGTGCCAGTATTCAATTTCATTATGCAGGTTTTCAAAATTGACAAAATTATTTTCATCATTTCGGATGTAAAGTTCGTGATCCTCAATATCAGGTAGAGCATTTAGTAACCGTTTAACAAACCCCTTTTCCTTCACACATAAAGAAACGTGAGTTTTCACATATGCCCTGACCTCCTCGCACATGGTATCCAAGTTAACGTCATCCCCGAGAACAACAATCAGATGATTGCATTTCTCCCTCATTGACTTTTCACTGGCAGACCGGAACGTGAATATTGACCACTCATTGTCCAACTGTTCTCCAGACAAAAGAAATATTGTATGGAGGCAGTTGTCGATGGCTTTTAGGACGTTTTCTTCCTTTGGTGCCCCTGGGATAAAATCTCTATCAGGGAGACACAGTGTAAATCCATTGTCCTCCAATATAGGCCTCAGTTCGTTCATAACATAACCCATCTTACTCTCACCGTAAGATACGAATGCATGACGTTCATACATTTCGGCATTGTTAACATCACTTCCGTACATATGCTGAATAAGATACTTTAAATCAGGTAAGCTTTTGAGTCTAGTTTCATCATTTTTCAGTTGTGGCATACAATACAAAAGTTTTTCCTGAAAGAGGCTTAGTGAGGCTTCAATGTTTCGTCCTCCCTTTACATATTGCTTCAATTCCTTGATTTGGATTTCTTTTATATTTGCATTATGTGAAACAACGATAGCATAATTGGCTTTCTGTGCTTTTATCTTTTCCTGAGATTCATTCCATGCAATTTTAAGAATATCTTCATTCAGGAAGTCTTTTGAAAGCACTATTATGATTCTTTTACTATGTTTTACTAACGTTGCAATGTTTTCCTGATATGAAAAACCAGCAACAAAATCTCTCATCATTTCACAAACCAAATAATGTGAATTACAGAACTCCAAATACTCGACAATATTTTCCATGACCCAGTCCGTTATATTAGGAGAATGTACGACTAACACGTCAATGACTTCTTTACAATCTTTGTCCTGATCGAAGGGATGAAATCCAAGGTAAACATATAGCAGAACTTTTACTTCCAGTCTATAGATGTATAAGACGGACACGGTTACTATCAGTACTACCAGCAAAACGGAGCACACAACTGTAGGAATAAAGACCTTATTGTGGGAATCATAGTCCTCCAAACAGATGAAATCACTATCTGGTACAAAAATCAATTTCTGTCCTTCCCTATTTTCTTCATCAACATTACATGTAACTTTCTGGGAGTCGACCACGATATCTGCACGTTGCGTCATCCATTGTTTTAACCACTTTGTGTGACAATCACATTTGAATGGATTATCTTCTAGATAAATAGATCCAGAGAAATATATCTGAATCTCAGCAGGTAGAGAAACAAGAAAGTTAGAATTTAAAGAGAGTTCTTGAATGTTTTTCATTTGCTTAAATACTCCTGGTTCAATGCGTGCAATATTATTACGGGAGAGGTTCAATGTTCTAATTCGGTCCATGTATTCTTTATTATCTAATGTGGTGATATTGTTTTTATCAAACCAAAGATCTAAAATTCCAGAGGGTAAACGTATTGGTAATTTGCGATATCCATGATCCCGGCAATCTATAATATTTATTCTGCTCATAGATCTTTCAAAGCAGGTACAATTTGTCGGGCAGAAAGACATGTTTTTCTCACAATATGTGTCTTCCTCTTTTATTTCTAAAAGTGGACGGTTTTGAAATTCAGTTGGTGAGAAACATTTCCACGTATTGAAATATATATCCTCTTTAATTAATTTCTTCTCTAAGAAATGATTTACTACTTTAGATATTTGGTTTATTCCGCAATCACAACGAAGAGGGTTGTTCTCCAGCTGAATCTGAAACGTTTGCAAGAACAACAGGAGAATATTGTGTAGTTGTTTTGTTTCTTTTTCACTTACATCGTTTAAATTGTAATAAGGTAGATTGAGGTTGTCAATTTTGTTACCAGTGAGGTCTAAAACTACTTTATGAAAAATATCAGTTTGCTGCTTATTGTCAGAATTCGTATTATCTGGGGTGCCGGGTGTTTCCTCTCCATCCTCCTGCGTAAACATCCATTTTATGTCTAACATTGTTCGAGTGAAATTTGGAAATCTTATACTTGAGTTTGTGATACTAATTTTATCCAAAGACTGCAAATGAAATACGGCTGTTGGGATTTCAGAAAAACTGTTGCCATCTAGAAAAAGTTTCTTAAATTTAAGTGACTGACTTGGAAAACATTGTTGGTGTAAAACTGTGATTTCATTGTATTCTAAGTGAAGTTCTCTAAGAAATTGTAAATGAGAAAATGTGTTTGATTCAATTGTTCTTATCTTATTTTTCGAAAAATCTATGTACACCAAAGCTTTGTTATCGGATAACAGATACCTTGAGAGGTGAGATAAAAGATTATCTTTTGCATCCAGATGGCGCAACTCTGTAAGATTTTTAAAAGCATTCCTCGGAATTAATAGCAAATTATTTCGGCTCAAATCAAGATGCTGAAGACCTCGAATGTTTCTAAATGTAAACTCGCTAACTGCTTTGAGTCCATTCTCTGATAAATCAAGTGATATCAGAAAGCCTTCGAAGTTATGAGTCATGAGGTCTGAAATATTGTTTTTACTCAGTTGCATTGATTTCCTAAAAAAGTTTTTTGGCATATCTATGTTAAACTGTTCAGCAAACTGAAAATGATGAGCATTCGTCCTTGACAAATTGTAACTAAGTGGCAACCATTCATCGTTCCATGGGAAATCCGGAGGCTCTGTCAAGTCTGAATTAATAATATTAAGCATTTGTAATCTTGGAAACAAATCTGGTAATTTCGGTAAATACTGTTTCATAGGAACCTTCGTTAGTTGTATTTCTCTCACAGAGGGAAATGTTATATTACAATTAAAAATATTAATAAGTGGTGTTACAGATGCCGCTGGATTTGAAAACTGTGGTTCCCATATGAAACCATCAATCGTGTTCCATATCTCACAATAACTTTTATTTAAGGGGTTTCCTTTGCAATATTCAGAGTCCTGCGGAGGATAGTTAAATAACATATTGATAAAATGCATTACAAATCTGTCTCTGAAAGGACGTAGTTGTTCCTGAGTAATAAGGCATGAACTAATTTGTATATATCCGATTACATTCGGTAAGTAAGGTCTGTCATCCTCACTAAAAAACACTTCAACTTCTCTGTTACACATTAGAATAAGAACAGCATAAAGTGGATTTTCGTCAAACTGGAATTTGTCCAGAACACTGGCCGTATCGATGTAGCACTTACTATAATTGTACTGATCGTTTTCATTTGACCGATAAATACCGAGACCAGTTGTTTTTGCTTTCATTGGGACATCATTTTGGTCGTAAACATATTCGGATTTTGTTCTCAGGCTAAACCTGCATTTTGGAATTCCACATTTTGAAATCATTTGTAAACGTCCTAGATGAAAAAAACAAAGGATGCAAATGATATTCCAAAAGAATCTCGTCATCTTGAAGAATTGAACAGATTGATTTGCTCTCCTCACGCGACTATGATGCATAAAGTTTTTGTTTTGTCCTTGTATGTATTACAAACTCATGATAATAAACTTGCAGAAAATCCTGTTCCATTTTGTTATCCATATAAAAGGACATCTGCCAGCCTCAGTGAATTGTGTTCCCTCGTCCCTCGTCTTTGTATTGTAAAAGACATGAAAACAATGCATGGTTATCATAATATCAGAATCAAAATATGTATAAAATTAAGTTCGCCGCTTTTATCTTGCGATATTAATAGAATTAAATGTAAAGTAGCACAGATATGTAAATTTATGTACATATATTGTTTTGCACACATGGAACATCTTTTTGGCTGATGTCTCATTTGTAACCTTAATTACGACTACCTAAATAAGATGTCATAACAAAAATTGAATATTTAAGTAACATCAAATAATTACTAGAATTCAATGAATTACCGGCATTTCACTGTGGTTGTCTTTTTGTGGATAACACCAATTGGAAATTAAACAATACTCAAATGACTATGCAATATGGGACGAATTTCTCAAAAGAACTTATTCTAGGAGACCAGATCAGAACATATCTTTAGACTGATCTTCTTGCTAACTGTCATGTTTTGAATGCTGACGGTTTAGATTACAAGATTTTTTTTTATAAATAGAATATGTTCTGCACTTTTCAGGCTCTTTAAATTATGACGCTTTTTTATAGTTTTTAAAAAGATAAGAAAATTTTTTTCTCTGGGTTTAAATAAGTAAAGTTTAACTTACAAAACATCCCATGTTTATCCAACCATATGGATTTTTTAAATGAATCAACAATTGTTTTCTTAAAATATATAATGTTTATTTGCCGCTAAGTAGCTTTTGATTGACATGACCACAGCATTAATATTTTTCTGTAGGGGCCACAAAAGGAATGACTTTTAATAGAATAATCTATCATATTCACTACCTGAAGATCTCCATTGATCTGAATTTGATTAAAAAGAAAAGAAATCGTGGAAGTAGATTTTCTCCGAAAACAGAAAAAATAGATAGGAAGCATATAAAACTTATTGCCATGTTAACATGGTTCTATTCAAAGTGCATGAACATTTAAAACATGAAATCTCTTCAAAGACTCATGTTTGAAGTGATCCAGGCAAAAAGTCAAAAACATTCACGAGAATTTTAAAGATAAGTAAAACTGTGACATATAAAATATTACCTACCGGTGTTCTCCGTTACACAGTTGTGTAGCGGTGCTAGGGTGAAGCCACAATGATTGATAACTATACCATCAGAGTAATAAGGAAACATACACTGTGAATGGCAAATACACACAACCGTCAGTTTACTAATTCGTAGCGACATATGTAACTTTTCATAACCGAGACGTGGGATTTTAAGTAGTGAAATATCAATCTAGGTAATTGAATATTCTTATTTATTTTACAAAAAATGATATCCCTTAATTTTGATGTGCTGACCCGTAGAAATGATGCATTTGTGAATATACATAATTATTTTGTTTTGTAGAGTTTTTCTGGGAACCCAAAACCGCACTGCGTAAAAAATGATAATGAGAATTCGTTTTGCATCATTGAGTTTATTTTACAGATTTTTCATTCATGATATACACATTTATATTTTCTGTTTTATTTTTCAAACTAACCTTGTAAATTAGTGCTAACTGGCATTAAATAGATCTTTAAATTAAAAAATATATGATATACAGCAGATTTACACCACTAAGAAATGAAAAACGAGCTCTCAGAGAAAAAAAATAAACACAAAGATCCCTTTCGTTTAAATTCTAATATTTTCTGAAAATAATTCGTTAAACAATGCCCATTACAAAAGATATCATTACCAATATATATATATATATATATATATATATATATATATATATATATATATATATATATATATATATATATATATATATATATATATATATATATATATATATATTCATTGCCCTTTTTTGGCACATCATGACTTTTTGTTAAGATCTTTAACCAAAATACAAGCATAGATTGAAATCTTGAATCTGAAGAATTTAGCTACCTTATCTTGAATTTCGAATAATTTCTGAAACAAAGAATAGCTGAAGAAAATAAACAGTAATCGATCAAAAACAAACCAACTAAGAAAACAAATCTATGAACAGGGAACAAAACACTGACTTCCGGAAATTCTAGAGTTGGGATCAGGTGCATAGGAGGAGTAAGCATCCCCTGTCTACTGGTCACATCTTCGATGAGCCCTATGTATTGATCAAGTAGATGAAATATTAGATGGACAGTCTTTAGGATCAAATCATCTTAATTTATTATTAATATCTTACCAATAAATTATTGCATCTTAATTAGTAACAATAGCCCACACTAGTGGTAGGGCGTTTGCATCGGGTACCCAAGGTTGGATTCTCGTTCATCGCGCCAAAGATGTAACATACGTAGTGATTGGTACTTCACAAACTGCCCGGCATTAAAAGTGAAAGTCAAGTATCTTTCGGATGAGAACTTCAAAACCGAGGTTGTGTGTCACGGTAGGCGTTGTCACAATAAAGAACCATCACTGCTCAGTGACCCTGAGTGCCGAGTATAGGTCTAAATTTGAAGCTCTTCTCCGGTATGAGGTTACGTCTCTAACTCGAATTGGGCGTTAAAAAAACATACAATCAATCAATCAATCTGAAAAATGGACATGAACACTATATGTTGAATAATTCAGTAATGAAAAATATTATTGAAATTATTTCGGATCATTGGGGTTTAATGAATTGTGCCTTCACTTTTTTTTTTGCTCTGTGTCGGAGCAGTAAGTTTCAGTTAAAAATGTTCAAATTTCCAAGCACTCAGATTTCAACAAAAACAAATCCTTTTTATTTTTCTACAAACATTCGTACATCTGACAAAGAAGAAAAATAGTAATAACTTAGAGAGAGATAGAGTTTCTAGTTTTGAAATATTTTATGCAGATTTGGAATACAATTGTGGACAATTCACATGACAGCATAATATCTTGAGTCAAACTTGTTTTCCTTCTTGTGTGATTTGTCAACCACATAAGCTATACCTGACAGATAATAAATAGCATGTATGTACTTTATTCGGAGGTACAAAGAGTTTAATTTTCTTCATGAATATGCATTTAGAATTCAACGAGTCAAGAATGATTAATGCTCGGTGAATTAAATCTATAAAACAACATAAGAAAACGTCTTCAAATTGATGGCATAATTTGTCAATTCTAGTACACCATAACAAAACATGCTTTTGATGGATTCTGATTCTGTGTGATTACATCTACCGTTAGAGAGGTTTGGAGCATTTGCGACATTAATTACAATACTATGACAAGCTGATCAAGTTCACTATCAGAATATATCAATGTAGAGTTTCAAATATCGTAAATCTATTAAAGTGCTGTTAGCTTTTTTTATGTTTAAAACAATGTGATGTAGGTTCCTTCATTCATACGGCCATCAAAATCCACGATGTGTGTACCGCACACGAGCCAATGAATTATTTATGGACTGTGGCAAATAGACGGGTCACAAGGTCATTTTCGTATCGTTTCATTGTTTAGTTTCGTATGTTTCTTCTCATTCATTCAAAACTTCCATTTTTTGACGAATAATTGTGCTTTCCAAACTTATCATACTTCTATATCGTAGATTTGTGTGACTTACACTGTCTTCTGGTGTTTAAAAGGTCTCAAGACCATAACTGAGAAGGCACTTTAATCCAAGTCTCAAATTAGTTTAACTTTTAAAATAAATTTGAAAACAAAACAATTTTGTTTTATTAAATGTTTCCTAAAAATATTATACATGCTTGCAACATTTTAACATATTTCTTGAATAAAAATGAAGAAAATGTAGAACTTAAATTTTAATTTGAAGTATATTCCTGTGGAAAAATTTCAATTCTTTATTCTCTCGAAACCAGATTACTGGGAAAAGAGATAATTATATATAACAAATATACACAAAAACGAATACACTGTAACAGTAAAGGGTACAAACAATAGACAGGTATATTAAAAAAATGAAAAGAAAAAGGTAAATATATAATCAGTTATGGAGGCTTCAAGAAGGACAGACAGTTTTGATTTTTTTTTCCTTAATATATTTTGACAAAGATTTTTGTATTGTTTGTGTTCATTAGTTCATTAAACTTAAAAATATTAGGATTTTTACAATATCTATTTAGGAGAAATATTTTTTCTGTCGTTCGAGAATTACGTACTTTCCATAACATAATAAAATTCATCACCATTACCATTACTTTTACAATGACAAACGGTACATATTCTTTCATTTCCGTCAGTATTATTCCATCTACCTGTTTCAACTGGATAACAATGATTACATGTTTGAAGTTTTGTAAATGTAATTCTAAAATCGTTTGGTAAATTCAGCAAATAATTTTCGAGACCAAAATTTAAAATTTTTATAATCTATTCATTTAGGAGAACTACCGACAATGCGTCTCCATTATTGTACAGATTGGTTTCTTAGAGTTTCTTCAATAATTCACTTAAGCAGTTATGAGATGTTTGACTGGTTCATATATAAGACAGTCTACAAGAATTAAGGATATCTTTAATACATTTTATTCATGGGTGTATAATTGTTTTATAGACCCACGAAATAAATCATTTCGGAAATTCTATAGTCATGATAATAACCTTGATTGCAAAAGTAATACTGTCTATCGTTGGGTCATATTTCGACAGACATGTTTCATACAAAATGTAATACCATTTTTTCATACTAATTTTAACTACAGATTACACAAATTAAGGGTTTACGTTGGGTGTGACAAATCGACTGGGGATGCTTACTCTTCCTAGGCATATGAACCAATCTCTGGTGTTTCCATGTGTCCGAGTTTTAACCATGTTCACGATTCGTATTGTTCAGGACTTTTGCGATCAATCATTCTTTATAACTTCACCTTTTTATACAAACTGGAACATTTATTTGAAGTTAAAAAAAATGGCCATGCCTTGTTAGAGCAAACATTTTGTTTCAATTTTCAAATATCATCAACAGAGACCAAATGTATTAAATCTCTGTAGCATCCTTCACGAAACCCTAAAATACTCAATTTCAAATTACTCTGTAAAAAGGATGTGTTAAAAAGGAAAAA